TTGAGTAACAAGAAAGTTGTCATTTTGTTCACCACAGATGAAATTCTATTCCCAGACAGTAAGTGAAGCCAGATAATCAGGCCAATTTCATAAACAGTAGATTGGATTGGAGGAGTTAAAGGACCAGATAAGAAAACGAGCACCTATAGCAGGATGACCTGGGTAAAACAAAGGATGATTCACTCAAAGGGGCTGCAAGGACTAATGCTGCAGACTCCTATAGCTTGTTGTGCCTTGCAAGGCCAAGAGAGATTTCCAAAGGGACTGAGGCCTGGCAGCATCCAGTGAATGGGCTCTTGCCTACCTGATATGGAGCTGCCTCAGAAGATAGTGTGTTCCGTATCCCTGGAGGAGTTAAAGTTCAAGAACATTGCTGAGGATCCAAACACTGGGAGAGAGAAAGAAATGGATGGTCCTAAAATAAATCCTCTTTGTTCTTAAAACTCTGAGTGTGGGAGTGAAGGTGATTATTCAGACCAAGCCCCTGGGTACTGACTCATTCTTATTCCACTGTCTCGGGCCTACGTCTCCAATTCTAACTTTCCAAATTCCATCACGGTAGATCAGGTATTCCCATCGTTAGAATAGTACTGTAGGTGGTTTGTGTTTGGAGAGAGGTTTAGTGGTAGGACCCCAGGTTTGTAGTGTGTTACTAGTTATCATCACAATTTTATGACCCTCTCACTTGAGAGTGGGATGACAATGTGGTTATTAACCTGAGACTAGAAGAAACAAATGGGAGTACTCCCAAAACACAAATATCTCACCTCTTTTTTTCATGGGAAAAGAGTCAGCAGAAGAGGGCAAGGCAGTCAATAAAATCCTAAAGGTAATCAAAACAGATGGGGATATAATTTCATTCAGAGCTATACAAAAATATCCTGTACTCATTCTCGATACAGGAAGTGTGTAGAAAGTTTCAAGGTTAGTATTTATCTTCTAAACGTAGACTTGTGGTCTTCTTATTTAATAAATTCAAACCACCAGTGGAAGAAGTCAGAAAGAATGAAGTCAGGAGAACTGATTTTCATGAGTAACATTGTTGTGATTGCATTTCTTGCACAGCCTTAATTTGTGCCTTGAGAGGTTAAGGTCTGAGAGAGTAGTGCTATTCCAAGAGCTCTCCAGGGATATTTTTGGAATAGGCCTTATTGTTCTCTAAAAAATTAATGCGTTATATTCCCAGGTGCTGTTGTCAAGCATCATTTTTCATTTAACAAAAATATGGTCGTTTAGCCAGAAATTTTAGTTCTGTAATTAAAATAGACTAAAAATATTCTGCAGCGCATCTAGAAAAAATATTTTATATGAATCATTGTGCTTCCCAGAAATTTTCCATGTTGGATCAAACAGTAGATGAAGACTTTTCTGTGTGTTTAGGATGGGTTTTTATGTTTATATATGAGCATGCAGGTGTTTTAAGAGAAATTTGAAAATCGGCAAAACGAAGTCAATTCACTATAAAATAGTTTCCAAATTGTCTGTGCAGTATTAATATTGAGGAAGAATTAATTGAAAGCAAATATTTGAGAAATGCTTTCGTATGTCTGTAGGCTACAAAATCGTTGTTTAATTCATCAACAATCTTTGAGTGCTCCTCAGCATCTGGTACAGAAATGAAAAATACAGTTTTAACTTCAGAGTGCTCACACCTAGTGAGGGAAACAAACAAGGTAGAGAATTCAGCATGATGAGTGACATGAGATAGGTGAATGGGAGGCTCTCTGGGAGTACTGAGGGCCATTGCCTAGTGTAGCTAAGGGCAGAGAGGAGCTGAGCTGGGCAGCTCAGGAGTCTGCCAAGAGGGTCAGAGGGAAGCAGTTCAGGGCCAGCAGCGAGAACGGGACTGTGCAAAAGACATTTCAGCAGCTACAGTTTCTTTCTGAGAGTCCTCCACTTCCCAAAGAAAATGAAAGGAACATTTATTTGATTTTTGTCAGTTTAAATATTGGCCAACCATTGGAAAATCATTTTTGAAAAGTGATTTCTTTTGCTATATTTGGCAAAGCTGGGAGTAGAAAAGTGATGAGGAGGGACCATCTTAGTCCATTGCCTTTGCCTTTGTAACTGCTACTTCTTCACAGCCTTTCTACCCAGTGCAGTTCACGTATGGGAAACATTTCTTTCCATAGTCAGCATCTTCCTGGGGAGTGTTTTGGTTATATTTTCACAAATGTCTCACCTCTTTGTATTAACAAACCTTCTCTTTGAGCTGTACTGTGGGTTTCTGCTTCTTTCCTTTTTTCCTTTGTCTAATTAGAAAAAAAAAATAGAGTGGAAGCGTTAAGGCTACTTGTTAAATGTGCTCTTTTTTACTTAACTCCAAATGACATCTTGTTTGTAGATGTAATTAAGAAAGATCTGGACAGAGAGAGGGAGGATAATATTCAGTGTTCCTCTCAAATTGAATTTTATGGTGACAAGCTCCATATTTTACATGAAAATGCTCAGTTAGTACAGCTGTTAAACTTTAATGGTAGATAATAATGGATTTCTGTAGCCACTTTTTTGTTTTCATTCAAAAACCTAGAGGAAAATAAGGGATATAAATTATAAATTATTTGTTTTATGTTAAAAATATGTTTCATATTCAGTGCACATAAGCAAAGGTTTTGTCCAGTGTTAGTACCTATGAATCATTAATAAAAACAATTGCTTCTGTTTGCTGTTGACATTTTATATATGTGTTGTTCCTCCCTGAACCTTTTTCTTAAAAGTCAACTTTTAAGAAATGATGTGCAAACAAAAGGAACTATTTTATAGTTAATTGGTTTTATGTTTAAAGATGATCGATATACAATAAACTTAGCCATCGTAATCCCTCAGAAAAACAAACTGTATTTAAGGATAATAAGAGAAAATAATCTCTTTTTAACATATTTATTGATACATAATAATTGTACATGTTTATGGGGTACCTGTGATATTTTGTTTTATGGGTAAAATGCATAATTATCAAATCAAGATATTTAGGATATCCATCACCTCAAACATTTATATTTCTATGTGTCGGGAACATTTCAAGGCCTCTCTGCTAGCTATTTTGGAATATATAATACATTGTTGTTAACTATAATCACCCTCCTCTGCCATGGAACATTAGTACTTATTCCTTCTATCTAACTCTATGTTTCTACCCATTAACAATTTCTTGTTAAAGCCCCAGTCTCAATCAAGAGAAAATATAAATAGCATGGTAAAGAAAAAAAAATTTATGACCCGACGATATGGGTTCCATTTCTGGTTCTATACTTTCCACCTTGGAGAGCTTCATTAACCAGTGACTTTCACTTTTCTTTTCTGTAAGATGGTATTGATAATATCTGCCCTCATGCCCACTTCCCTGTCTGCCTAACTAATAAGACAGATTTCCTTAGCATGTAAGTGTGTTACAGAGCCTAGAAACTCAACATGCTTCACAAATATCAGCTGTATGATAAGGAGTTACAGTACCAATGTACAAAATATGATTTTTAAAATGAGAGGCAGGACATTTATGAAGTTATATTCTATGTAAAGTATATTAACACACATTAACACATAATAGGTGATAGGAATATGCTTTTCTTCTTTCTCTTAGCTTTTCTTTCCAGCCTCTTTTTCTCTCTTGTCATCAAGTCTGCGGCTGGACTTGCCTTCTGTTCTGCTTGCATTGGTGTTTGCTGATGCTCTGATTCTGCTTTCTCATGCACAGGCTCAAAGAAATAGTGAAGCTGCCCCAACTTGTGCAAAACCCTCTTCTTAGCTTGGATACTTGGTCATATGCACATTCTAGTTTAAATTCCTATGTAATTAGAAAATATATGAGTGGAGATTGGTTTTATATTCTGTAATAATAAAACTTATTTAGAGAAGTAGGATTTATTGAGGTACAAATGTTTACCAGTTTTATGAATAACAGCATATAGTTATTTTATAAACAACTTCAGTGATATATGTTTGTGTGTTTTCTCCCAAAAGCATATTGAGCAATTATTTTCAATTTTATAATCATAATGATACCTGCAATATCTTAAGAACCTACCCTATGATTTATAGGAATTAAGTCATTAAATCCTCACAACACTATAAAGTCTGTGTTATTTCCCATTTTACAGATAGAGAAACTAACTACAGCAAGGCTATTAAGAGACAAGATATCATCACATTTGGGAGATGTGGGGCTTTGTACCAGAATGACTGAGTTAATTCCAGTTCCCTTCATTATTATCTTTGCATCCTTAGACAATCACTCTATCTTTATATGCTTTAGTTTCCCCATCTGTAAAACATCTCATAGTGTTGTTAGGATTAAACATATCTTTTCCCTACATGGCATTTGAGGTTCTCTTAGCCAATGTTAAAAAATCTGTCCACATATTTTTAACTTTCCTTTCTTTCCATGACTAGAAGTCCTTTCTAAGAGATAATCCTCCCAGAAAATACAAATCCTATTTGGCGATTCACTGCCTTACATTTTGGTGTTCGATAACACCATGGAATCCAAAGACAAGCTCCATCATATTCATTGTGGAGCCTGAGACACTTTACTCTCCCTATGAAAAAGTGATTTCAAATGAAACCCAGTTCTGCCATTTCTTTCATTTTGGTTAAAACTATAGCAGGTGCTTTTCACCTTATTGAATGTGTTAGGCTCCAAGTGGCAAGCTTAAATGGTACATATCCTTTTTAAAATTATACCTATACATACTGGGTTTGACCGTTCATTTCCTTTTCCACATTATTAGTTGCATTTAACAGCTAAAGGTATCATATCAAATTATTTTATTGCTAGAGATATTGAAATTACCCTGACTTCAAGTCAGAAACAACTTTATTAAAATTTTAAGAGTGAGAACAGTAAAATGTGTTGCATGTTTCACATTTTACTGTTTTCAATTTTTGAAGAGCTTTTGTCATTGAGAAAATGAGTGTGGATAAATATGGATTGTTTTTCTGGAAAATGCTTTCTTATTTCAAAAGTCAACTGTGACTCAGTCTGTCCTCCTCTGTCATGGCAGGAACCAGTATATTCACCGTCTATGAGGCCGCCTCACAGGAAGGTTGGGTGTTCCTCATGTACAGAGCAATTGACAGCTTTCCCCGTTGGCGTTCCTACTTCTATTTCATCACTCTCATTTTCTTCCTCGCCTGGCTTGTGAAGGTACTGCGGAGAATTGTGCTAAGAAAGTCTATGTTCTGTGATGGTTCTGCAGATCTTTGGTTTGGTTTTGGTTGCCCTCTGCTTTGTCATTCTTAGAGTTTGATAAATCTGGTTTGTGATTTTTTTCAGAACGTGTTTATTGCTGTTATCATTGAAACATTTGCAGAAATCAGAGTACAGTTTCAACAAATGTGGGGATCAAGAAGCAGCACTACTTCAACAGCCACCACCCAGGTACGGTATGAGCAAGAGGATGTCATAACCCATCCGAGCGTGCACATGTCTCACCCTCACCATCAGTGGACCTTGGGGAAGCTCTTGCATGTCGGGCTTCTACAGTCTGACTCAGGAAGCTGTCTAAAAATACAGGCACAGGCCAGGCACAGTGGCTCATGCTTGTAATTCCAGCACTTTGGGAGGCTGAGGGGGAGGGATTGCTTGAGTCCAGGAGTTTGAGACAGCCTAGGTAGTGTAGCAAGACCCCATCTCTACAAAAAAATTTTAAAAATTAGCCAAGAGTAGTGGCATGAGCCTTGTAGTCCCAGCTACTCAAGAGGCTGAGATGGGGGGATCACTTGAGCCCAGGAGGTCGAAGGTGCTATGAGCTGCAGTCACAACACTGCACCCCAGCTTGGGTGACAGAGCAAGACCCTACCCCAAAAAACATAAAATAAAATAAAATAAAATAAAACAGGTTCAAAGGCCCAAACCTAGAACAATCAGATCAGAGCTTCTAGGCAGTGAGGGAATGACACCTATATTTTGTAACTGCTTCATGGGTGGTTTTGATACAAAACCAAGATCGTCAACCACATTTATTACATACCTTAGATTCTGACATCACAAATCCTCAAATGGCTTGCAGATAAAATATAAGCACTATGGAATTTCTGACTTTTATGAGTATTTATTCATGTACTTGCGAGCCTGTGTAATGTCTATGTGTAGGATTAGAATTTTGTGATGGAAAATATATCTCATTCAGTACAAACCACAGTGCAATAAACTATGACAATGATCCCTCAAACCCACATGCATGTTTGTGATTTTTTAAAGAATCCCTGTATATTCAGAAGGATTCCCGTAAGTCCCATAAGACAATATTGTTTCCATAAAACCATAAGGCTCCTGAGAATTTGAAGGTGGGCTACAAATTTTCTAAAAGCAGCAGAGCAGTTATTACATAAGAGGGCAATTCAGATCCAATGCCTTTGTTTTTTGTTTTTTGTTTTTTTTGGATTTGTTTCATGTGTGTGTGTTCATGGTAGTTAAAAAAAAGGAAGAGCAGGTTTGTATATCTTCTTCTAGTGTGAATCTTTATAAAAGACAGAGAAAATAAAAATTCCAGAATCAGGAATAAAATGATATAATGCCTTGTGACTATTATAATATTAAATTCTAAAGGATATTTAGCAAGTTTGTAAACACTTACAAAAGTTGTTAAGACAAAGGTATCTGTCAACACTTACAAGAACTGGTAAGACAAAGGTATCTGTCAAGGAGCCGAGGTGTACAAATTTTACTTTCGAAAACCCTCAAGTTGAACTTCTAATAATTATATGTTAAAACGCAATTTAACACACCAATTTGGGAAAAGCCTGATGGTGTTGAGGCATCTTTATGATGCTGTAAAAGTCTGAATTGTCTGGTCAGTTCATTATAGATGAAATAGTGTCAGTCTTATTCAATTTTGACAAATAACAGTTCAAACTTCCATGAAAGGTTTTTCTGAATATGCTATCCAAGTTATATCAGAGATGCCATGTAGAAAAGCCTTCAAGAAATCAACCATACCAAGTACTTATCTCCTCTCTCCTCTCTTTCTGCAAACTATGAGAGATAAGAAAGTTCCCAGTCTGTTCTGAGGTGACAGCCTCTAGAAGGACATGTTTTCACTTATGACTTTGAGACCCAAATGGAACATGGAACTATGATCTCAGCCCTTAACTCACATGCAGTGTTCCTGGAGATGACCTAAAATGCCTTTAAAACCATAGTATGTTTATGGAGTAACTCTCAAGTACAAAATCACAGCTAGAAAAAATAGTGTTTGGAAGCACCACCAAGTCAGCCAATGGTTCTAATAGAAAGGGAAATGTGAAGAGACTTGGAACAACCTTGTACAAAATCATTTTGATGCAAAATTGTACTTAATCAAGAGGAATGAGTTGGTAATTCAGAGGTAATGCGTCTAGATATTCAGCAGAGGTAATCACACAGAGAATTATGAAAAACCTTCATTAAGAAAAATGCTATAGCTGAGGACCTGGTTGCTAAGCAACCAAAGCTCCTGCTGTCAGCCTCTGGGTGAAACACCACTCAGGCAGCCTAGCAACGGGCTTCAGGCCCCGCCCACCCTGGCTAGCCACTTGCAAGTGAGCCCTCTGATGCTTTTATGTGTAGAGAAGGGAGAGACATCATTTGCCATGATGCTATTATGTTTGTAAAATATGACCAGATTCTGTGAACAGAGACTTCTCATTCAGTGGTTTAAAACACTAAATCATAAGTTACTAATTTGAAGGAATTAAAATAAAGATGATTATTGTAACGCACACAGCTTTTTGAACATGGAAGTTCATTCTTGCCTTTCTCTAGCATATGGAAAATTTGCAGTTGTTAAATATAGGCTATTCTCATCAAAGGACTAAAGGGTCCTGGGCTTGTTGGACTTGTTGATGTCTAAGTCTGCAGACTTCTCATAACAGCTATGTGTGTAGAAAAAAAATATGTATATATATATGCACATTTTCAGGACAAAGAAGGGGCTTTCTGTTACATTAGGCAGATCACTAGGAATTGACTCTGATAGGGACCATTTTAAGGGAGGCAAAAGGAAATCTGTGATGAAAATTGTTTATTTAAACTAACAAAGCAATATTTTTCAGTTGGATGGTCACCACCAAATGCCTCCAAGACACAGCATAGAAACAAATTACAGAGAGATTAATGCCAAGGGTCTTTAGGAGACCACAATATAACATGTAACTGGAAAACAGAGGGAAAATGATGTAGAAAATTTCAAATTACTAAGCATTGACTCTGCCTGGACTCTGAGAGGCTTGTGATTTCATACCTGCCTAATTCTTAGCCGTGGATAACTATTGCCTTGTGCTCAGCTGTGGATTAGGTTGAAGGATAAGTCATTCATACACCCATGATATAATACCCCCTTGTGTTAATCCACTGTAGGATTACCCAGGCCACAACTTTTTAGTGATATCCCATCACTGGATGTTGGGATGTGCAGATGAGCTGAAAGATGAAGCCCTGAGTACCGTATCTCACTAACCCAGACCTTTCCTCCCATTATTTAGATGCTTTACTTCAGATACCTGTTACCAGTCCCATGGTCTTCTGACCTAGACTAGCTCATGATAAAGATGAGCTTATCCCAACTTTGCCTCAAGTAGAACGCAAAGAACTGCTAAACTTTACAGCCACACAAGACTACTTTTCTGTTAAAATGATAAGAGACAAAAAGCAGGCTTCTGACAGTCAATACATATATAACTTTTATAAATGAATCATAGTCCAACAGGATCATATCGAAAGTTTGGTAAATAAATATTCTGATTGTACAAAGACATTTCTGGGTCTGTTATTATCTCTAATTGAGCATTCTTGCTGACATGTGTTTTCTGAATTAATATCCCCTAATTAAGAGAGAAGACTGATAAAGGTAGAATTGGTGTGGGAAGAAAGGGCACTTATGAGTTTATTCTCCTTTGGGTTTCCATCAACGTTCTTAGAACATGGGTTATACAATGCCTAAAGCAACGTATGTATAAATGTTAAGTGCTGGGTTAAAAAGTAGAAAAAAATTGATGAAAAGACACATGATGAAAAATGGAAAGAATTTCTCCTCCAAAGAGAAAGTTACATATAACTTAATGATCAAAGACAATACTTTAGCAAAAATGTGTTTACTGTGTTCCAAGACCATTCATTCCCTCATGAATATACATCATTAAAATGTGTGAGAAAACAATTCAATGAATGCATTTCAGGGCAGGGTGCTTCTAGCATAGTGTAATAATGAGCACCTTCTAATAAGGAATCATAATAATGGAATAATGCAATCATCATAGGAAGCCATAAATGAGAATTAAATTTTGTGAGGTTGCATCATTGAATATATTATTTCATAATGAAATCAAGCCAGGTATCCACTCTCACTATTTTGTGTCATAGTGACTATTAGCTATTTTTTGAAAAACCATCAATTTTCAAAGAATCCAAAGAGCATACAAATTGCAAAGTAAATTTTAGATTTTCTCTGCATTACTATGTATGTGGATGTCTGTGTGTGCCTGTCCTGAGTTTGGAATTCTAATTCAGCTGCTAGTGATTCTCCATTACCATGATTCTTTCTCTTACCACTATCCATTAGATAACCTGTTATTCATGCTGTTGTTGATGATTATGATATTATGCCTATAATAGAACAATCCCAGAAGCATTTATAACTACTTTACAAACCAATCGATCAGTTATAAAACTCTAGCAGTTGCAGATGGACAGGCCTGAGAGAATTCTCAAAGTTGAAATCTCCATGGGCTTCCAAATGATTGTGCTAAGAGGAGAGTGCCATGGAAATTCATTTGTGTTATTGGTGATATTCTGCCAATTCAGAACGTCTTCTTACAGTCACTCCCATATATTGAGATCTGCGCTAGCCTAATGGCTTTACAACCTGTCTTATTTAATCTTCACAATAATACTGTAAAGCGGGCGTTATTAATGTCTCCACTTTGCATGTAAAAAATGACAATGATTGGAAAGTTAATTATCTAACCCCATGTTATATAACTGGGTAGTGGTAAAACTGGGACTCAAAACCAGGTTGCTCAGCTGCAAGAGCCTTTTTATTCAGCATGAGATGCTACCTCCTTTCAATTTAGCCATTACAAGCCCTGCTGTCAACATGCTGTCTTTGTTCTGGCCCTGTGTTAACTTTTCTTTTCTTAAAAAAGACCGTATTTATTGCTGGCTGAAAGGGACATTCGCATACATTGTTGCCAAGAGTATGAATTAAAATATCTTTTCCAGAAAACAGTTTGGCAATATGTATCCAAAAGTAAAACATATATACTATCTGACCAAGAGAGTCCACTTTTAGAAATTTATCCTAAGAAAAATTTGGGGCAGTAGCCAAGGGCATATGTTTGAGGATGTTTATGAGGCATTATGGCAATTTTTTAAAAATGGAAACAGTCTTAGTCTCTAGCAATAAGTTATCGATTATAAATTATGAAATTGGAATAAAGGGAAACCATTAAAATAAGCATTGAACTTTATTGATGTGAAGATATGCTGATGACATATTAGTACAAAAAAAGGATCCCATGTTTGTGTGTGGGATGCAGGTGTGTGTGTGTGTCTGTGTGTGTAAAATACCTGGAACATTAACTCTAAAATGTTAGTGGTGGTATATCTGGGGAATGGGTTTGAGATGTTTCTTTGGCAACTAATCCTCATTTTCTAAGCCTTTAACAGTAAAATATTTAATTATAGAATGAGAAAGGAAAATTGCATCAGTAAAATGAAAAGAAAAAATAATGGACACTCTAACAGAAACCACATGTACTAGTTAAGTTACATTCGGTTGCAAGGGACCAAAAAAGCCCGAAATAAGTTGCTTAGGTGAGGTATGCGATGAGGAATCCCGTTCTCTCTCATATAAAGTTGGAGGTGCTCATTCAGCATGGTATGGTTGCCTGTGTTGCCACAGATCCAGACACCTTCCCTCCCGTTCCAGTTTGCACAGCCTCCATTACCACAGTCACCTTGTAGACTAGCATGGCTGCTGTAGCTCTAACCCTCACATCCATATTCCAGAGCACAGGAAGAAGAAGGAAATATAGGAAAAGAGGGTTTCTGCTTGCATCCTATAGTCCTGTATGTAGTTACATGGTCAAGGTCAGCTTCAAAAAAAGACAAGAACTGGCCTTTTTTGTTGATAGCCTAGTGACTCCACACAGATTCTCTTTGTAAAACAGGGAAAAGAGATACAAAGGAAAGACTGGCAGTCCCTGCCACAATCCCCACAAGGATTTGAGTCTCTGAGGATTCTTGGCTTCTGCTAGCTAGCCCAACTTCTGTCTCAAAGATCTACTGTAATATTAACCAATCGAAATGTTGCATAATTCAGGGGACTAAAGAGAAATTGAACGTTTTTGCATTTCCTTTACTTTATTTCATACAAATAAATGACCTGAGAATACTTTTACTGAAAATTAAATTGATTCTTTTGATTTTGGTCTACTGAAAAAAACATAATTTAACAGAGAAAATTAGTCTGCTACTGATCAAAGTAAATATATGCCCCAGGGATCCTTTATGCCACAATTAGAGAGTACAGGAAGTATCAACAGAGGGTTTTTTATTAATAACTGGTGACTGGCAATGCTGGCTTTGTCTTTTATCCTTAAAATGAGGCTTCCAGAATTTTTACAGACACTTAACAAGGTCCTATAACAGGTTTGCATCTCCACTGATGCCTGTATTCTCAGAATGAGCCTATTCAAGAAGAATGTGCCTGATTCACCCCAAAAAGAGTTTTTGCAGTTTATTCTAAAGAAAATCCGAATCCTGTAAATGGACAGCTGAGATGAGCAATTTGTAGTTGACATCTTTGTCAAAGGAGCTTTATGTAAATGTGCGCCTCAATTTTATCATTTAAAAATACATATAGGAGGAAGAAGCAGGGGGACTGCCTGAGCTCAGGAGTTCAAAACCACCCTGGGCAACATGCTGAAACCCTCTCTCTACTAAAAAAATACAAAAATTAGCTGGACATTGTGGCGGGTGCCTGTAGTCCCAGCTACTCAGGAGGCTGAGACAGGAAAATTGCTTGAACCTGGGAGGCGGAGGTTGTAGTGAGTGGAGATCATGAACCTACACTCCAGCCTGGGCAACAGAGCAGGACTCTATCTCCAAAAAAAATTAAAAAATAAATAATAAATATACATATAGGGCCTGTATATAAAAAATAAATAATAAATATACATATAGGGCAACAGTCTCTCACCACCTCACTCATTTTATAGAAGGCAAGTTTATTTTGCACAAAGGATCTACCACCACTACTACCAGGGATTTGAAACTATCATTACAAATCCTAGGTAGTGGGATCTTTGCATCATCTCATTCATATTTCCATTAGCAGTTACCCCTTCAAATACAGCATCAGACTATCAGGAGGACATAAATAAGGATGACAAAGGAAATATTTATTTCTGTAAAACAGTGACCTCAGGCAGGAATAAAACAGTGAGTGCTTGTAATTAGTATCTTTATTTAGAAAAACAAAAATGTTTAATTTTGCCCTATTCCTACTGTATGCACATACACACACACTTGCTCCTGAGAACTAGAAAGAAAAATATTAGTAGGAAAATACGTGAAAGTGGGAAATGTCTTCCAGCTGGGTGTAATATTGACACATAAGTAATATGTGATGATAGCTAGGAGATAATAACCTAGATATCTAATTCAATGGATTTCAAATTTCATGGGCCTGTAGCATCTTGAATTTCATCACTTAGGTCTTTAATCCAAAAGAAACTACTTGTTCCCTTCATAATATGTACATAAAATTTCCATTGAGCAGATTAATTGCTTCCTAGTTAAAATAATTACACAAAGTATATTAAGCAATGTGGCAGTCTTCTACCATTAAAATAACACCAGTTCTTTCCCTGTGCCACATGCACACTTCTTATTTTATTGATCCTGAGAATATTTTTATTAGGTCAGTGAGAACTGTCCACTAAATAAAAATAAAATTTGCTACCTATAGTAAAAACACACCAGACACAATGCTTTTTAATTCTAATTTTCATTTTCTCCCAGATCTAATAGATATTTATCAATATAATGGGGATAAAATACTAAAGTATTTCTCTTGCGGAGAAGAATATTTGAGCAATTATATGCAAAGCATATGCAAGACAGAAAGTGCCTGACATAGCAAGTAGTCAATAAGCTCAAGTTATTAACATTGTTCTTTTTTCATTTACTTAAGCGTTCAGTGTTAAAGAAATACAATTGAAGTGACTTCATTCCAAATATAAATCCATAAGAAGACACATTTTTGATGACATAAAAATATACAAAGCTGGAGACGTAGAGTTCTCAATGTTCCGTATTAAATGTCTCTGACTCATCTCCCTTCTTTGTCTTGAAGATGTTTCATGAAGATGCTGCTGGAGGTTGGCAGCTGGTAGCTGTGGATGTCAACAAGCCCCAGGGACGCGCCCCAGCCTGCCTCCAGGTGCAGTACAATGCCATTTTTAAAAATCGCCCAGCAAAGCTCTTTGAATTTTATTTCATCAATGAAAACCCACAGCTCTTTAAACTCTAGAATTGTCCAAATTTATGATTCTGAAGTTAGAGATGGTACTTCACTCCATCCTGTATTCCCAGAACCTAGCTTTTTTTTTTTTTTTTTTTTTTTAAGATACACAGTAGGGATTTGATAAGTTTCTGATGGCTGCACACATGTAAGAGGATTTCAGTGGTATTGAATAAATGAAGAATTTTGTTGACATGTGAAATCTTATAAAAATAGTCTTTACCAAAGACCTGAGTTATTTGGCGGTGGGCAAATTCATTCAATTTAATACCTCACTGAGTAACTGGGAAAAAATATGTTGATACATAGTCTCTCTGTTTTTCTGCTTTTGCAAGCTTTCAGAGGAGCATAATATAGAGGTGTTTCTTTAGCAAAGTGCACCAATAGCAAACATGAGGCAGTGAGATGGCAGGTGGGACCTGAGAGTCCTCATAAGATAGATTCTCACAGTGATTAGAAGATGGAGCCTCAGGTCTCTGCCCGTGAACTTTCTGGAATCACCGTCGTCTTCTCCAAGTTTCTCCAAGCTGCTGTTGGCAACAATATGGATAACAGCAATAACAATAAGGCCCAGTAAACCCTTTATCTCTTCTTCAGGGGGCCATACTAAAATCTCTTGCTTTATTCCCCCTCCCTGCCCCCCAAATACCAGTAACTCATTCAAAATAATGTCACCTTACCAAGTGCAGCACCCCTACCTTTCCATAATATTTTCACTACTTTAATTTTCCCTCCAAGCAGCCCACTCGTAGGATTGAAGAACTGATTCTTCCACCTGGAGAATTTTATTTTCTTTAGCCTTTTTGGTTTTCAGTGAAAAATTCTCATCTCACAAGGGGCAGTTTCCATAGTTCTTTATATCCCGCCCTCATAATTTGGAGAAGTGTTCACATCTGCCATGGGATGAGACCGTATCTCTTTTCTTTCTTTTGGGTCTTTCTCCAGATAGGGACTTATCATGCCACTCAAGGATTGGTACCTGAAAAATAAAATTGTACTCTGAGCCATTACTGTGGGCTTTGTTTGTATGCCCATTTTACCGTGGAGTTATTGACTTCTTTTTGTTTTTATTTGTATTGAGATGTGATCAACAAATAAAATTGTAAATACTTAAGGTATACAATGTGATAATTTGATATATGTACACAGTGTAAAATGATTGTTGCAATCAAGCTAATTAACACATCCATTGCCGCATATGTTCAATAGTTACCTCTGTGTATGTGGGGTGGGGGGTAACACAAGAGCTAATCTCCTAGCAAATCTCATGTATACAGCACAGTATTATTAACCATTAATGAATCATTTTGTTTATTAGATCGTGAGAACTTGGCCATCTTTTGACTGATAACTAATATCTCCCCATTTCTACTCCCTGCCCCCAGCCCCTGGTAACCACCATCCTACTCTCTGCTTCAATGAATTTGACTTTTTGAGATTCCATATATAAATAAGATTATGCAGTATTTGTGTTTCTGTGTCTAGTTCATTTCACTTAGCATAATGTCTTCCAGGCTTACCCATATAGTTGTCAATGGCAGGATTTTTTTCTTTATTATGGCTGAGTAATATTTCACTGTATGTCTATGCCACATTTTTTTTATCCATTCATACATCAGTATACACTTAGGTTGTTCCTTGTCTTGACCATTGTGAATAGTGCTGCAGTAAACATGGGGCTGCAGATGTCTCTTTGAGATACAGATTTCATTTCCTTTGGGCATATATCCAGAAGTGGGATTGCTGGATCATATGGTAGTTCTATTTTTAATGTTTTGAGAAACCTCCACACTGTTTTCCAGAATGACTCTGCCAATTTAAATCCCCACCAACAGTGTAAAAGGGTTATCTTTTCTTTATGCCTTTGCCAAATAGTTATCTTTTGTCTTTTTGATGGTGACCATTGTAACAGATATGAGGTGATTATCTCATTGTGGCTTAAATTTGCATTTCCCTGATAATTAGTGGTAGTATGCACTTTTCATATACCTATTGGCCATTCGTGTGTCTTCTTTGGAAAAATGTCTACTCAGAATTTGCTCATTTATAATCAGATTATTTGCTTTTTGTGTTTGTTTTTGTTTTTTAGTTTGGGGGCTTTTTGGTATTGAGTTGTATGAGTTCCTTGTATCTTTTGGATATTATCTCCTTTTCAGAAATATGGTGTTCCAATGTTCCCCTGATCCATAGACTGCCTTTTCACTTTGTTTATTGTTAGTTATTTCTGTCGATTAAAAAAAAAATGGAGGGCAATAAGTGGAAAAGCTTGCAATGAATATTGATAAGTATTATTTTGTGGTCCTCCTTCTGGCCTATATTTGATGTTGGCAATGCTGCTAATATAAAACTACAACTACCTTTACTCCTACTATCACTACTAATAGTATTAATAATGACAATGATTATAGTACTAGCGTCTTACCTAAAAAGCACTTTTATTGACATTATTTTTTAATCCATCAACTGATATTTACTGAGTTACCAACTATGTGTTAGACACTGAGATAGTCCGGAAAGAAACAAGCACAGTCTCCACACTCATAGAGCTTACAGTGTGCTCGAGGGTGGAAGGAAATAAAGGCAGCATCGAGCTAGCAGTCACAAGAGTGACGTGGGTTTTGCAATAAGTAATGCAAGATGCAAGGAGGATATATAAATTGGGGTCCTCTTTGAGAGGTCAGGGAAGGTTTTAATGGGTAATCTTAAAACCAAAACTATGAGTAATCCCAACATTTTGGGAGGCTGAGGCAGGCAGATCACCTGAGGTCAGGAGTTTGGGACCAGCCTGGCCAACATGGTGAAACCCCATCTCTACTAAAAATACAAAAATTAGCCAGGCATTGCTAATTTAATAGCACACCTGTAGTCCCAGCTACTTGGGAGGCTGAGGCACAAGAATCACTTAAACCTGGGAGGTGGAGGTTGCAGTGAGCTGAGATTGTGCCATGGCACTGCAGCCTGCGTGACAGAGTGAGACTCTGTCAAAAAACAAAAAAAGAGAGAGAGAATGGGGAAAAGAATGGCTAAGGATGAGGTTTACTACAACACTGTGATGTAGAAAGACTGGCATGCTTGGTCAGCCATTTATAGGAGACAGTGGTGACTCAAAGGACATAGTGATGTCTCCTGAAGTTATATTCAACCAAAGGGAGAACCCAAGACTAGTGGCTGGGTCTTCTGGTTCCTAGTCACATGCTTTATACAGCTGAAAAAAATATGCAAGAAATCATAAGTTTGTGGTAGAGAAATAAGCTATCGGGGCTACTCTGAGTGCCAAATCAGAGTTGTATGGGATCAAGAGCTTTAAAATCTATTAAATCCTTGTTAATAGATGCCTCAAAGTGGCAATATGAAATTAGGAGGCAAGTCAGCCTCCTTATCACAAAGATTTGAGAATAGCAAGGGATTAATGACAAGGTGAAGTGTGATGACAAAACCGAGCAAGGAGATAGTAAAATAAAGATTGGAATGGAGTGGGGAATAGATGTCGGGCTTGAAGTGTATAGATGTGGCATCTCAGAGACCCCTATATGAGATATGTGTTATGAATATAGCAGCATGCTTATGACATCTTATGAATGTAACTCGTATGCTTAGAAACGGGGGGAAAAGGGATCAGGTAATTCAGTATGATGCAAGTTTCATTCAACTCAACTTCATGTGTTTAACCCTCAATAAAGCTTTCCAGAGGCAGCAATGAAGAGTGCATGGAAGAAAAGTGGGATGGCCAAGAAGTTGTCTATTTGTACTGAGCAGGAGCTGTGATTAGAGAGAGAATACATTTCCATGTCTGAGAAAAAAATAATTAATTAATTAATTAAAAGAATTAAGTAAAAATATATTGAAGATAAAATAGTCAAGAAATACTTGATGGCTTTTACTAATGATAAATGGCATCTAAAACTGGGTAACAGGAAAATTTTCATCTGAACCTTCCACTCCGTGGCTTGGACTATCATGGTATCTTACCCTCAAAGAGGAACAGGAGCATATACCACTTCTTTTTATTTTTAAAACAAGCAAAATATGAACATGTTCTCATAAAAAAATTGATACGGAAATAAAATTAAAAGGAAGAGTTTACTTGAAATCGTCTTTCAACGTATCCTTCCTCATTCTTCTTCCAATAGGTAACTTGGAGGTTAACATTGAGTCGATTCTTCTCAAACTCCTGCATTTATGCATTTTATCTCACATGAAAAAGCATTTCTGCCTCCAGGAAGCACTGACATTTTCACAGAATGCTGCTTCTTCCTACACCACTCCCTTCTCACTCATCCTTCAGAACTCAGCTCAAACATCACTTTCTTATCCTCAAAAACATAAGCCAGGTACCTCTGTTACATGTTTTCATATCATCCTACACTTTTCTTTTACGTCTATCATAATTTTAATAAAATAAAATAAATTAAGGGTATAATTAGTTGTTTGATGTCTGTTTCTCCAACCAGGAGAAATTCCATTACTTTAGAGACCATACCAGTCGTAGTCACTACTGGAACTATGCCTTAGACATGAGAGATGATCAATTATGTTTATTAACTGAGAACAAGTCTAGTGAAAGAAGGAGCCAGTACCTTCTTGGCTTATGAAAGTACTTATTTGACCTCTCACTTAAGAAGCCGCTCTGTTTATCCTCCTGGTCTTGTCTCCAAGAACTAGAAATTGAATAGACTGTGGCGATAACACCCTTTTCCATACATAACAGTTATTTCTATATGCATGTCGTTGGAGTCTAAAGCAAGCAGTGCACTTGGAGTTTGCTTCCAGAAAGTGCCTCGCAGAGGTTGTAGGGTTTTGGATATCTCTGGATACTTTTGCCAGGATGTCTCCTCTAATCTGTGGTGGCAGAGCCTTGGCAGGACATAACCCTGATTTCTGTCATGTCTCACCTCTTTCAGAACTCTTTTCATCTTGTA